CCTTAGCAATTCTTATCTAACTTTAAGTTGATGTCTCCACTGAAGAGATATTTTTTGAGTTTTACACAGGATGCTCTGGTTATTTCTATTCGACCTTTTATTTCTGCTGATTGATCCATGTTTTCGGTCAACCAACTGCATAGATAATTTATATTTTTGTACGCTCTCCATAAGGTGTATATCATCTATTAGAACATTGGCTTGGGCAATATTATTTCAATTCTATGGCAGCTACGGCCAATATTATTTCGACATTGAAAATTCAATTTTTGAAAGAGATAACCACATGTCTTCTCTTTATGTCATAGTGGCTGTAGTTATCACTAAATTTGACGTTTGGCTAAATTTTCTTGACAGGCTGTTTTTTTCTCAAAAATTTTTAATATTTTTTGAGTGTTTTTATAATAAAATTTATAAAATTTTAAAATAATTTAAATGTGTAATAAAAAATGGGGGGTACACATTTAAAATAAAAAAGGTTGCTGTCAACTTCCGGTAATTTCGGATGTACCCGCATATTTGAAAATATGTTTAATCATAGATCTCGTTGTGAAACAAATGATATGCAAAAAAAATCTCTGGATATAGATATTGTAGTTCTCTAGAACTGGAAGCCTGTATACTAAAGAAAACAAATAAAAGTTCAATCATTCTGACCTGGATTTAATGGTATCCCAATTCTTCCTAAGGAAGTTGAACAAGGTGGTGTATCCATTCGCACCTCCTGTCAGCATACTGAAGATCAAATAGATGTCGTTATCAGTGAAGTTTCCGTTCTGTTCCAAGACAGTAATATTGAGCAATCGCTCTATCTTCCAAGAATCGTTAGGACATCCTGCCAGAGTTTTGAGCAAGTAAGTTCTTTCACTGGGCTTCCTGCCTTGAGGGAATCGGATAATTCTTTGTAATCCAAATTCCCATTCTTCATTGGTACCCCATTTGAAAACTGGACAAATATATTGATTTGCGACTCTGAAAAAGAAGAAACATAATTTTAACTTTGAAAATAAATATTTTCTTTATACAATGCTAAAATATTGATATAGTGAATCAGTGCGCCATCTCAGGCTGCTGATGAGTGTAATGCCGGGTCCAGACCAAGGCGATAAAAAGTAAACACGATTTTGAGACAGAAACAAGACAAACCTGCGACAAAAAATGGCGAATTCTGACAAGACAAACTTGAGACAAATTGTCCACACCGCAAGGACAAAAGTACAACAAAGTCAAAAGTTTAGTGGTTGCAAATGAGTTTTATTAATAACCATGTGTGATTTCACTGGTCTCCTACTGTTGGCAGCACACGCCATCCACACTGCGCCGACAATTTGTCGTAAAATATACGAACAAAACATAGACACTTTGATCTTTACCGACTCGAGACAGGACATTGAAAAGTCCCCGAATTTTGAAACAAAGCAAAAATGAGACAGAAATGTCGCAGAAGTGTATTGGATTTGTCGCAATTTTGTTGTAAAACATGAATGTTTCTGTCTTGTCGTTGTTTTGTCCGCTTGGTCTGGACCCGGCATAAGATACCTGTTTTGTTTACTTACGGGTTGCCTTCATCAGGGTTGTCACTTTCCATCCATTTTTTGAAAGCATTCTGGGCTTCCTCGATGCAAGGTTTGTATCCGGCTTGACACAAGAATACTTTGGATGAGCTTCTCAGATGAGCCCTGCCCTCGGATTCGCCTTCTTGAGCTTCATTTCCCAGTTCTTCGTAGAGAGGTGTAAGAAGCAGACGTACATAAGTCTAAAAATTATTAATAAATAGAAGAATAGAATAAAATAGCACATTGAAAAATCAATTCAAGTTCAGATAAATAAATAGGAACTGCTTTGAGAATGGACAATCAAATTCTTATTCGAATTTTTGCAGAAATCTATTTGCATCCTTATAGCGTCTACATAATATACTTAATATATACAGAGTGATCCGAACTGTATTCCTGAAACTTTTCGGAGGAGTTTCATTTTTATTTCGATTTTTTCCAAATAATTTTTAAAGTAACGTCAATATTTGGATGAAAATTGGTGTTTGGGAGTTTTCTTGCCATGAGAAAGTTGATTTTGATGTCAATATGACTCCTACTTTGTAGAGGGCGCCACCTACATATTTTTTACTGGTTTGAAGAGTAATAACTTTTCGTCCGTACTTATATAAAACTACTGAGTAAAAAAATATAAATTTACGACGATTTTTACGTAAATAAGGTCTCTTGGTAAAGATCGCTACGAGTAAATGGTTCTCGAGCTGTTAGAGTAAAATCATAAATTTGAAATGTTTTTGTGCCAAAAGTTCTACAGAAACTGTTTTGAAAAAAATAATAAATGATTAATTTAAAAAATAAATGATTAATTTAAAAAAAATGATTAATTTAAAAATATAAAAAATTTATCTACTCAACATATGTTAATTTTTTGTCAATAATTTCATGTATTGACTATTTCTGTTCTAAATATCTTGAGAACTGTTGCTCACAGCGATTTTTACCAAGAGACATTTTTTACGTTACAAATCACGAAAAAATATATTTTTTTATTCAGTAGTTTTATACAGGTACGGACGAAAAGTTATTACTCTTCATAACAGTCAAAACACATGTAGGTGGCGATCCTACAAACAGGAGTCATATTGACATCATAATCAAATTTCTCATGTCAAAAAACTCTCAGACCCTAATTTCCATCCAAATATTGACGTTACTTCAGAAATTATTTGGAAAAAATAGAAATAAAAATAAAACTTCTGCACCCTGTATCTCCGAAACTAAGCATTTTAGGACATACATTTATACGAACTTTTTTACTTAGTTTTATCTCCAGAATATGCTACCGGCGTTTCCGGAATACAGTTCGCACCACCCTGTATAGTATCTTAAAATGTAATTGACATTTAGTGTAAATGAATAAGTTTTATTCATTGTTAATAAATTGTAGCCAAAAAAATCATTTATTTGCAATTTTTCAGAATTACCTGGAATTTTTTATGTACTGCTGAACTGTCAATATGTTTCCCTATGTGGTCGATAAGTGTGAACACTGGATCCCAAGCGAGATATTCTCTTTCGTTCTTCAAAAACAGCGTCATATTCAGCGCAGTAGCGAAGCTGAGGTCGCCTGCGTAAGCCAAATTCCAAGCATCGTGAAGTAGCTTGGCCCTGGTATAGACTGGAATTTTGGTTCTGTTCTCGGTTTGAAGATATCTAGCTAACATGTTCCAGTTATCTACGTCATAGTTTACAGGGAATGGACCTGCGTGATAAAATAAGAATAACAATTTACATGATCAAAATCATATTATAGAGGGTGATTCCCTAACTTGGAATAAATGCAAAAAAGTATTTGGGTATGCTAGGTACCATACAGTAAAAAAAACGGCATAAATAAACGTTTGCTTTCTTTTTTTATGTATAAATTATATCATGAAAATATCATCGATCTTCATTTCGAAGGCAACTGGACGCCGTTTTTTTTTCGATCATACATTTGTATATAGAGATTAAGGAAGATGAATAATTCAACCCATATACACTTAATATACTATATGATCGAAAAAAAAACGGCGTCAAAGACGGCTGGGAATGACATTCGTTAATTTTGGCGAGATCAAGCCCTAGACATAATTTGCTGGGCCCGTGTTTTTCTTTATTATTTACTGCTATTTACGGCCAGTTATCCTTAAGAAGGTTGTAATTTATTTTATATTGAGTAAGGATGAGTTTTAAATTATGTAGTTTAAAATTTGAGAAAAAATAGTAATTTTTAGAAATAGATTGTGTCTGGGAATATTATATTCTTTTTTACTCTCTCTATAATTAGCGTTAATTTTTGACGAGTCTTATGTGAATTTTTAGTAAGTGACGTCTAAAGATTAACCTCGCCAAAATTATCAACGATTGTCACTCCCCAGCCATCTGACGCCGTTTTTTTTTCGATCATACGATATAAGCAGCATTTAGTCAAACGAACGCAGTTTTTGATAAAGGTGTCTGATAATGGCTGAATAGGAAATGGGTCACTAATAAACAATTTAGAATGAATAATATATTGATTTTCATTCATAACATTTAATTTTGATCATGAGCAACCATTTTGAGAAAATGAAAAGACTCTATATAACTAATTACCTATCTCTTCTGGATTGATTATGATAAATTGATTATTAGATGGCATATTCTTCAACTCTATTTCTCTTTCCCGCATCATCCAAATCAGGGGAGTGGTGTTCAAGAAATTCATTTTATCCTGTCTGATAATGACCACAGGAATCCACCACAAGAACTTTTCTTGGTCAGGCACATCGTGAGGCCTTTCTCTTAAATAGACCCTCTGAAAATTAACCAATATTGTTAGAAAATTCAGGAAATCATATTTGTTTATTTGTTTGTTGTTTTCTTATTTAATAATAATAATAGTTATTTATGGTACTAGTGTGTTATCTTACAAATACCCAAGCAGCATTTGGACGTCGGGACAACGTTGTGTCACGCGACCAAACGTCGGGGCGCAACGTCGGCACAACCTCGTGCCAACCCTAGTCTACACTAGTTTGGAGAATAATTTTTGGGTCGAAACGACGTTGGATACCGACGTTGGCTAGAAGCCTAATTTAGTTCAAACTGCAACGTTGTTTAAAATCCTAATTCACAGAAATACAAAACTAATATGGCGTCTAAGTCGCGTTTTATCCTAAATTGGGATAATTATAGTAAAATATTATTTTTTATGATTTAGTTAGAGAACATATATGTCAGATGGCAGTGAAGGAAAACAAAACAAAAGTATTTAAGTGTGGAGGATGTTTGAAGATCATAATTATTGAAACACTTTAACCGACTCTGTAACTCGTTACACAAGGCAAAAAAGTTAAACGCAAAACAACTTTATTGATAAATGTATTGTTTCTACTTTGAAAAATACTAATGGGCCTTAAAATTAAAGAAGTTTAAAAATTTTCTTGAATTTTTTTTTTTTTAGTAAAATGAGAATAATTTATTCGCAGTCGAAAAATTGTTTCCGCGTGTTTTTAGGGTCAAATATTTCAAGTTAATGTATTCAAAAAGCAGGAATTGCTATTTTAGGAACGAAATATTTTCTTATTTAACAACATGGCGGCTTTCACTTTATTGTTTTGGAGATTAAGAAGGAGTAGTTCGAGTAGTCGCATACTGGACTAATAAAGTCGCAGTTCGGCCTTAACAGGTAGTATATTTAGTCATCCTAGAGTCTAGCTTGTGCCGCCCTCTATAATATAAATAAACGAGGGAGTGGATAATCTATCGGTAATATATGTCGATGTATATTTAAATTTAGTTTTATATGTACCTTTCTTATGTCCCATTTTAATTAAGTTTTTTTATAAAAACAAAAACAGCACTGAACGGTCTGACTGAACAGAACAATGAAGTGAAAATTTAAAATTAAGGTTATGGTTCAATACAGTTGCAAAAAGGTAGTGACTCGACGTCCTACCAACGTACGAATAAGGAAATCTAAGGAACGTTGGAATTAGTAAAACAGACGACGTTTGCATAACGTTGGAATAGGTCCTGAAACTGAAGTCGGAAAACTCTATATTGTCCAACGTTGTAACTACGTTGTCCGAATCACCTAAAGATCACTTAAGCAAAAAAGGTTACAAGACAACGTTTATTCGACGTCGCAGAAGCTTCTACTTTGCTGTAGTACTAGTCCAACGTCGGCACAACGTTATAAAAACGTTTAAATTTATTTTAATACCCAAGGTAGGGAGCTAACTATTTTTTGTAACTAATCCAACGTTGTGTTTAGTAAACATATGGTCGCAAGTCGTGAAAATGCTACTTGGGTAACTCACGCTGGAAAATGTATAATGCTAATTTTCTCAAGTAACTTGTATGTTATAAAAAAAATAAAAGTTATAAAAGTCTATAAATTGAAGTAAAAAAAAAGAATTTGAGCAAATACTCACTTTATTAGCTATTAGACACACCATAGACGCTTAGTTCTTTAGCACCGGCTAACTGTGCAGGCCAGTTTGCGCACTTTAACCTGTACTACTGCCTTTCGCATACAGACGCAGTTTTATAGCACAGTTTTGTCTACAATGAACAGAGTGACGCACCTACTAATAGTTTTATCTAATTTCTTACAATAAAATGGTTTCCCTAAATATAGTTCTGTTTTGAATTCCGCTTGCTTGTGCAATACAGAAAAAGATATTCCTGTCACTCTATATAATGTACTGTATACTTTTTATTTTCAATGAACATGACAAGTTTTTTTATAATTCAAGTTTTTATTAAACTGACATAAAATCGGTTTATTAGAGTTCGATATTTTCTTTCAAGTTAATAATAGACTGAGTTTTGTCTATGGACCGAACTAAAATAAACTCAACAAGCACACACATGTTCAGGCTTCTGAGTTTGCGCATTTTTTATTCAAGCAGGGTCTGGCCGACAGTCTGCAGTCTCCTGAAAGTGCCCACACACCTGCCGATCTACCTGGACAAATCATGTTTACACAGGCGGTCTGTATGATAAAATTGAGTGTCTGTGAGTGTCTTTAGCTACTAGAAACGTAAGTAATAAGGAATCCAGCAACTTAACGATACCATCTAAAGGGTAAAGTCACAGAAAGGATATGACATTGGAATTTAATAGTGATACATTGTAAATTATATTTATTATACTTAATATCATATTCTTTATTGCTATTGGGGTATCAGTACCTGGTGAATATGTGCTGTTTTGTTACTGTAGTTCCTGGTTACTGTGACAACTGGGAGACGGTCCTTTGTGATCCATGAGCCCGCTATTTCGTTGATGGTGATGGGTTCTGGTAAAGTTTTGTCAAATCGTGCTTGTTCGGTTAGGGATAGCCAGATATCATCACCGAAGAATGTTTTAAATTGTCTGTATAACAAAAGACGATACATGTCTATACAGGGTGGCGCACCTCATTCGCCTCGGTTGATTATACGAAAACGGAAACATGAAGAAACAAAATATTTTATGGGTATATATGAAATTTTCAAAATATTTTAAAATCGACATTAGTTTATGGACTTTATTTAAATTTATAACAGGTTATTTTTATTTAATTTACCTACAATAAGATTAATAAGTAAATATTTATTATTTTATCAAGAAAAATGAAGCAGAATCTGCTGGTGGAAGGAATGGATATGTTACTAGTGATTTTATTTTGTGAGGAAAATTCTTGTTGCCCTGAAGGGTTTATGCCCAAAGACATCCAAATATCAATTTTTCTTGACAAGCGTTCCTTTGAAAAACAACTTTTCCTATTTCGTAGAGCTGATAGTGAGGTACATGACAAACCTGCTAGGTAGAAACCTGTCGTTGAAAGTGAAGAAGAAAATTAATTTGCCTTAATTGGTTCTTTTATAGAAAATCCAATATATCTACAAGTCATCGTAATGTAAAAATCAAGAACTACTTCCTTATTTTCCTTGATAAAATAATAAATACATACCTACTTATTAAACTATTGTAGGTAAATCACATAAAATTAAACTGATATAAATTTTGAAAATCGAAAATAGCTACTAACTGTCACTAGCAAATTGCCATGGTGACACCAGCAATCTTGATTGCCATTTTATTGAAAAATCGCTTTTTATTCAAAATCTGACCCAGTTAGGTATAGAAAACCCTAATATAGTTTGAAAGAGATTTAAATCTGCTTCGAATTATTTAAAAAAAATACATAGTGTTGCATTTGAAATAACGAAGTTTTTATGTAAAATAAATATTTAAAATAGACCAGCAATTTTTGATACCCCTGTATACATTTAAGGAAGCAATAACAATTTTTAGTAAAGTTTATTTTTCTGGCTTCAAAGTTAGCACAAGAATTAACCTTGAAAAGTAATGTACAGGGTGTTGACAAACTATTTTATTATAACATGCAAATTTAAATATCTTTAAATATCTCAAAAACTAAAACATTTAAACATATTAAACCCTTATAATAAATGCCTTATTTTATGCCCAAGAATACAAAAATAAAATAAAACACCAGGTGTTCCATAAGAAAAAATATAACACTTTGGTATGGATCTTAGTTCTGACACATCCTGTACATTTGAAAATAATTTTAAATTATGCATATTTCCTTCCCACATATATCCATAAAATATTTTGTTTCTACATCTTTCCCTTTTTGTATAATCAACCGATAATTTAAATGACTTATTTCATACATCTTTACTAGAATTATTTGAGCTCTATTATTTGGTAATTCGATTATTTCAAGATTTTACACTTGAACACAACGTTACAATTATAGTTAGTTACCTATCAGCCATAAACCTTTGCATTCCATGCCTGAATGTACTCTCTCCTAATGTATAATTTAACATTCTAAACACCAATTCTGTCTTAGCCGAAGAAGAATCTTGTTTAATTGCAGTGTTTTTTCCATGTGGATATCTTTTACTGAATTCATAGTAAATAGAATACAGCATGGTAGTGGGCCAGTTATTAAATGTTTCGTTTTCACCAATCTAAAATTAATATTTTTTTTCCTTTAGACAGACCTCAGTGACAGAGAGAGAAGAGTAGAAGAGGTTTATGTCCAACGATGGACTGAACAAAGCTAAATAGAGATTAAGACCTTCAAAAATACCTTTAATGTGGTAAAGGCTGTGATGTATCTGACCAAAGCATTATTGATATGGGCATCACTCCACCAGAATGGGGTGGCCAGTGCTCCAAGCCATTGATATACCAGTTCCTGAGTCAAATGCCAGGATCCTTTGCTGCTTAGCTCACTTTCTCTTAAATCAAATGTAAAAAAGATTTTTAAATTTACATTCTAAAAAAACTAAAAATTTATCAATTTATGCAAAGAATATACAGTTATTAACTTAATCGTGTCATAAATATGTATCTACAGACTTACTCTAAACTTGTTAAAACATAGTAAAAATATATTATTTACTTAAACAACAGGACTCCCCAACTGTCTGCTGGTTTGGTAGCTTGATAATTGGGCAAAGCGAAGATATTCAACTCTGGAAGAGGATACGGGGACCCCCAGAAGTCTTCCAGGAACTTAACTGACTTGGAAACCTTCGTGGTGACGTTACTTAAGGCTTCGATGAAGTCCGGCCTTGCCCAAACTCTCATTTTTATGTCTGGAAAATAAACTATTAAACAAAATTGTTACATCCAGTTATTTTAGAGGTAAAATTATGTTCTATTTATTTTTTAATATAATAACAAAGAGTAGATATAATAATTTATTCTCGATAACAAGATTTAATTATTGTTCTAAAATATGGCGAATGCGCTAGGTTACCTTCGCTATCGCTGACATTCAAAGTGATGTGACTCAGTTCTGATACAACAAAAGCAAACGAAAATGTAGCCATTGGAGGTGTTCTCTGGAATTTGTCCGCTACCCAATACTTGCTAGTTTTAGAAGAAAAAAATTAATGAAATACAAAAAAAAATATATTTTCATATTACCTCGTATCACCAGTTGATTCTACAGGCGTATTAAAAATCGCCCTCATGGTATTAGGGCGTATCAGTGTCAGTTGGAATGGCACTTTGTATCCTGGTTCGTCAAAGCAAGGAAATACGTTTCTAGCCATATTGGGTCTCAAAAATGTAGCATAGTACCTAAAAATAATACAGGATTGTTCACCACATACGACACGAAGTATTGTAGCTAAACGATTAGATTTTTACATATTGTAAGTTTTGGGTTCGTTGAAGGACTATTAGAGCTACAATTTAAAAATATTTTTACAAGATACAGAGTGTCCCAGATAAATAAAAAATATCAAATTTTATTTTTTTAAATGGAACACCCCGTATATTATATTATTAATATGATTAAGGTTTATCACACTTAAACCTTACCTTTTTTCAAATATTTGAATTTTTGTCAAAATACAGTAATAATTTTAATGCTTCATTTCTCTAGGCTTATTTAAGTTTTTAAACCAAATATTGTACTGAAGTATTTCTATTTACTAAATTTTGTGTTGCAATAATAAAAATTATACTGCCTTATACAGGGTATCTAAAAATTTATTTTAAATAATTACTAGATTTAAACGGCAATAACTTGTTTAATTTAAGTGGAACACCCTGTATATTTTAGGAGAATCAGATGCACAATTTAATTGTCTATTAAATTGTATTTTACCATTTTTTACCTATCCCTTCAAGTTTTCGTAAAAAATGCATTTTTTTTAATTTACACCTACATTTATCAATATACCCATGGAATATTGACATTTTGGATTGTTTTTAAGGCAACAAATGTACAAAATGTACAGGTGCTAAAAACGATAATATTACTAACCCATTTCTTTACAAAAAGAAAAGTATTTAAATGTTTATAAATGAGTATACCATTAATTAAATATACCACCATTATCCGCAGAAATATTAATTAATTACCTACATATTTAATTGTGTTTGTTGATAAATTATTCTAAATAAATGTGGATTTGAATCAGAAATCAATATAATAATAAATTATGAAAATGAACGTCTCTGTTGTTATAAATAAACATTCTTCAAAAAATTAAATTAAATTTTTAAGGTGTTACTTTTGACCACACTGTCTAATACACATACAGAATTCAGTCTTTTAGTATTTGGAGCAATTATTAATATAAACAAAATAATTAATCAACGCAAACAGTAAATTAATGTATTTTGAATACTGGAATCATATTAATTGGTCCTCTTTAACAAATATTTAACAGTTTTTTTTTTTATTTTTTTAACGAAATAAACAAATTATATCGACAATATTAGTACCTGTACTCTTTAAGAATTACAACTTTAAAAATAATTTAAAATGTCAATAGTCCATGGGTATATTGATAAATAAGTTCTAAATTACAAGAAAATGTATTTTCTACGAAAACTTGACGAGATAGGTAAAAAATGGTGTAATACAATTTGATAGACAATTAAATTGTGCATCTGATTGTCATAAAATATACAGGGCGTTCCATTTAAAATAAACAAGTTATTGCCGTTTAAAGCTAGTAATTATTTAAAATAAATTTTTAGACACTCTGTATAAGAAAAACTAAAAAAAAAAAATATAATTTTTATTCTTGCCACACAAAATATGGTAAACAGAAATACTTCAGTACAAAATGTGGTTTTAAAAACTTAATACGCCTAGAGAAATAAAGCATTGAAATTATTACTCTTATTTTGACAAACCAAATATTAAAAAACGATAACGTTTAAGTGTGATAAAAATCAAATTTGCCTTATTTTAATCGTAGAAACTAAAATGTAATAATATACCAAGGTGTTCTATTTAAAAAAATACAACTTTGAATATTTTTTATTTTTTGGGACACTCTGTATCTTGAAAAATATTTTTAGATCTGTAAGCTCTAATAGATCCTCAAAAGAACCCAAAACTTGGCCCATATAGCACGTCCAAAAGAAATTACGTTTTCTACGAGGGAGACACATGAGAAACAACATATGTTAAAGTGAACCTAAGTGTTTATCTAGTTCTAACATATACATATGAGATACACGCACGCTCTTCTCACTCTCGCTCACACACGCTGTGATACAGGGTTACTATGTTGTACACTTTGCACTAAAGATTCTAAGAGTTTTTTGTAACGTAACAAATAATTATTAAAATGATGAAATTTAACGTCGGTATATGAGACATACAATGTATATGTCATATATATGTGTGATACTTCGTATCATCATAGTTGTGCCTATAGTATACACCTTGTAAAAATGTAATCAGTAATACACATAATATAATTTCTAATATAAACACTTTGTAATAGTGTACTGTTGTGTCTACATTCTACCATGAAATGAAGGTGTGTGCACGCGCGGATAGCCCTCAGCGTAGATACACCGACCAAGTGTAACTTATGTGTTCTCTCTCCTTTCTAGGAGTGGTATGCGTTAGCAGCCATTATTGTTTTATCATTCGGAAGCTCTATATAAATGTTCTGTTTGTGTGTAGTTTAAAAGAATTTTAAAGTAAGCACAAGGTTTTTAATTACCTTGTTACACCTTCCTAAGAGTATTACTTATATTATAGCAAGACTCTTCTTATTCGTTACCCAATTTACCAAATTTTGACTCCAATGAATGAAAACTCCAAATATTCTCGTATGATAAGAGGTTAGCTCTGGCAATATATATTTTTTTACAATTTGGAAATAATAAAATCTAAAATGGACAAAGAAAGAAAGATTAACACTTCAAAGAACTTCTACACTGATATTCGGTAAGTTATTGATGGATCAATATACAGGTATGTTTAATATTCATTAATCAGTTTCATATAAAATTTAAGGGTGAGATTGTCAATCTGAGATTGTAAATCTCGATGAATGAGTATGTTAACAAACCAACTGCTTGGAGGGGAAAGAAGAGAAAAAATGACTAAACGATCGTGGTGATCTAAAATCGTGGTGATATACCAGTGTTTACCATTTAGTATGTTGTTATACTAGGTCTTACCTTATATTTTTAATACATTTTGAATATAAATCTGTTCTTTTTAGCAGTGTTTTTCTTAATTCTGGTTTCTGCAGTGTATAAATAATTTATGTATTTTTTTTTTTTTTTTTTTTTTTTTTTTTTTTTTTTTTTAATTGTTAAATTAGAATTTTATTTTTAACCACATAATCCATTTTATGGAAGAAAATGGTACATTTTAATACAAAACAAAAATGGAACAATTTAAGGCTACTTCTCTTGAACTTACCATCGAGATACTTTGGAAAATACAAAGTTTTGCCTTCCTAATTTCGTTCTAATACCCCCATTAATTGATATCCATTGATAATATTTCTAAAAAGAACTAAGAAATTTTAGCCATCAAAACTTGTATTATTTCTTAATTCGTTATTAAGAGTAGTTTTATCTAGCAGAAGATGTATATATGAAGCAAAATACATACGTACACGCGGTAGTCACAACTGAAATGTGTAAACAGAGTTTAAACGTAATACACAAGCACTGTGTATCCTACGGCACACTGTGTATCCCTAACTTTGTGTATACGTAAATCCTATACTGTGGCTACATTGTGAGGCGGACGTTTAACCTTTTTGCATACGTGTTGAACTACATGTGTAAACGTAGCATATTGATTTCGGGGGAATTGTGTCACTTTGTGTCTACATCTAATAATTTAAACACATCGTAAATGTGATTTGATGTGCTGTTTGGGTGCAAACTGGCAAATTGCATTTGCGCATTAGCTACAATAGTCGTGTCCGTATGTGGTGAACAACACTGTAATTACAGACAAATGTAAAAAAATCGGTTTTACATAATGTGAAGCATTTTACATTTGGGTACGTATATAGACGACTTAAAGAACAGAATGTGAGAACATGGAGGAAAGTGGGGGTTGATAATAGATACTTCCAAAATATTAAATCTTAATAAGACAGTAATGTTAATGTAAAATGAGATTATGTGGTTGTAAATAGCTATTTTTTTCAAAAAGACATTGCTCTCTGATTGTTTACTTTACCATTTCTTCTCTTTAGTTGTTGGATCAATATAGGTACTCCTGAACAAGCCCTCTGTGGTGTCATTGAAGAGTTGTCCTTCAAATTCAAGATATATCTCTAAAACTGCTCCAGTGTTCATGGTGGTGTCCAGTTCGATGTTTATCATGGACTGTTTTTCCACTTGCTTCCAACGGGTTCCCAACATTTGAACTTTATAGCTTCTTTTATCATCATCTTCTCTTGCTCTACAAAACACCACAATTTCAGTTACTCTTAAGTTAACGACGTTAAAAAAATTATACGGAATTGATAAACCACAATGTGATCAAAATTGTTTTTTTATCATATTTTAATCATTTTTAACTATAAAAAAAAAAAAAAAAAAAAAAAAAAAAAAAAAAAATAATATTTTTATAATTTTCTAAAAAAATCGATTAATTTCCTATATACACTGTAATTTTTAAAAATTTTATGACCGGGTTTACTACTTTTCCAAAAAAAAAAAAAAAGGTAAAAAATACCAAAAATTACAATTTTCGACTTTTTTCCCATATAGCCAGGTGCATCTCAAAAGAGAAAACAGTTTTCTTGCAATTTACGTAATATAAATAGAGCTCACCTGAAGAAGGGTAAAGGCCCAGAAACCGGTCGTGAGAGTTTGGTTGATTTTCCCGAAATGATAAACAAAACGTGGAA